TAATAGGCATTTCATAAATGCGAATATGAGAAAGCTGATGGCACATTTAGGCACTACGTATGATAATAGCTAATTTTGCTGTATAGTGAATTGTTCCCAGCATGGTTAGAGTACTCTACTTCTACCAGCATGACGAATTCAAACCTTTGTCATATTCACCTTATATTCAATGTTATTGTGGCCTCAACTGTTCAGTACAACAATAACAGGCACAAGCTGAGGCTGAGTGAACTATAGTGTCTGGCCACTCAATGGAGTATACAGTCGTTTGTTGCCATTTCTATACTGTAAAAGGTCGTTCATATACAACTAGAATGGGAAAATATTGAAGGTAGATTCACTTGTTGCTCTATATATTGTAAGCATCCTGTTATTGATCCCTTATGAGGCCACAGCAAGTAATTTTTATGGATGACATCAGTGTGCGTATCGATTTTTGCCTGATTTTGAAAGAGAACAAGAAATTTTGATTCCCAGCAGCCAGAAGACTTTATGTTTCTACTCGCCCCTTGAACTTACCCAAGGCATTGTTTCACAATTCCTGGCCAAGTTTGTCCTCCAACAATATATTACTAGTATGCTGTTCACAGTTGTATCTGTGTATGAATTGCAAGATGCGTGCTTTCCCCAGAGTTATGCCAGGAAGTAAGTTGATAAGTGTTAGTGTCGCTCTAGAAAGGGGTTTTGTTCTAATTACTACTAGTACTGGTATGCAGACCAATTACTAAACGTACATCAGAAAGAATACTAGTATGTGATAACTCAATGCTGTTGTCGTGTGCTATAATATGTGCCAATTTTAAAAGTTGGTAAAATTCACATTAGAAAGTGTGTTTTAGTGACTAAGTCATGAATTGGTTGATTTACAGTACTGGCTGTAAGTGTAACACTTACTAGTACAGAATAGTATTTTCATGTTTTTCTTCGTCGCAATGGCTAACTATGGCAATTTCTCTAATGCCTGTTTTCTTCATATTATACAAATGGATGCCTTACATTCTGCGGCAAGAAAAAGTTGTAAATTGTTTTTCAGGTCATAATTATAATATGATTGTAAGGGAAAAATGGGGAAATGGCAGCAGTTTTGAGTGTATCCTATTTCCACATATCTGACTCCTGAGGTCAGGGTTGGCGAACAGTTGTAACGGCCACAACTAAAATATTACAGTTGCTGGACAGGGCGCTATAGCCTATAGGTGTAACAATGATATATTCTAAGGTTCTAAGGTCGTACATGTACTAGCAGTAGCAGCAGTCTTTTAACTGGGATATCAGCTTTCTTCCTTAGCACTCGCTTAGAACCATAACACGTACTTTGCACCAGTTATTTGGGTATATACAGTATACCCAGGCATATGATATTATAGGCTGTTTTCATTTATAAGTTCAAACTGAAATCTCTCAAGTACACTATTAAAATGTCAATTCAACCATGTCCAATGTTTTGTATGTTTTTTCTTACATTGTTACATCTCATGGATCATTTGAATGCTGTGTTGTTATTTTGTTTACCAGTATATCATCGTACTGCAGATCTTATATTTTTCACAAGGGGAAATGAAGTAATTTGAAAAATATTTTTTCTTTAGCGTTCCTAATAATATGCTGTATACAGTATGATGTACCCGTACATGTAGTTTGCACCAGCTAGAGTGCCTTTTTCTTGCCTGATTTGATTGAAACCAGATGGCGATATTTGAGCTACAGCACATGGCTGCTACACTGACTAGCTCCCAGCCATTTCAGTACTATTGATTTGTTGTTCAGACAGTGTGTGTATTTTCATATCTTATACGCGCCTGTACTTTTACCATATTGTCAGATGGGGATGACTCAAAAATGCAGAAATCGGCAAAGAATTTGCGCGAACGTCGCGACATTTGACTATTTATGGCGGAGACGTCAATTCAGGCGCAACGGCGTGTAGTCCTCTGTGAATTCAATTATTCAGATCCCCACCACGGGTCTCCGATGGTTGGTCGTGGTGAATATTCGGCAAAATTGCTAGCTCGTACATGTAAGGCTGGATGGTCGTGGGTGCTTTCTTTTGTTTTGACGTACTGTCGCTACATATACATTTAAACACTGTAATACTAAATTCGTTGTGCAAAAACTTAAGAACATCCAGAGCTTTGTGAATGTATCAATATAACCATAGAAGAAAAAGGTAGAATTTTTCTTTGCTTGGTGTGTAAATCTGGCATATTATTAGGCGTTGCAAAATTAATTTTGTGTTTCCGGTTTCAGTCCTGAAGAAACTAGGAAGCTAATCCAAATTTTGTGTTTTAAGTGATCAAACCTTCAAGCGCATTTCTAAAATATAACTCGGATCTAGAAAAGCCGTCCTCATTGTGCAGGACAATTAGAATCACGTCCCGAAATGCTCTGCAGAAAAATACTGCTCGGTAAAAAAGCTGCTGAACTCTGTGTGGATAAATTGGTTTGATCGCACTAATTATTGTCCTCATTTTGGAAAGAAACATTTGACATAACGTGGCATAATCGTAGGTAACATTTTTGTTTCACGATCGGCAGGAACGATGGAGCGGGATGTATGTAAATGGATTCAGAAAGTCGAGGGAAATACAGGGAACGCTAAATTATTCATGAACAATAGTAGTGCTGCTATATCCAGAGACTTCGTTTGTCTGGAAAATTTGTGCTATCTAAGGGCGGGCGTAGAAGGCAGATGCAGGTATCCTTGCCCCTGACGGCAGCTTGATTGATGGTGACGTAACGCACGTTCACAGCTGACCAATAACAGAGAAGTGCTAATGCTCATTACAGATGCGCACGCTTTCTGGGTCGGGGATTACGTCAGCCGACGTGTTGGTCGGGGAGACGAGCCGCCATTATTGCCAAACACGGGATCCGTCATTAAGCGACCTGGATAGTGGATAGCGTATCTCAACAGTTAATAAAGCGGCACATTTTTTTCTAGGTCAAATCCTTGTTGTAGATTGCCGAAAGGCATTCTGCTAAAGACATTAGTAGAAAGGGTGGAAATTTCTGGAGTGATATTATGAGAGTAGATTAGTATGGTATCCAGATTTCAGCTTGAGAGTAAAATCGCCGTGGTGCATGCAGCCATAGCAGCTGCAGCCGTCATCTATGGGAAATTTCCGCTGTAAAGCATATCACATTGTCAGTAACAGCAGCTACAGATACACATGTACCACAAAACCGTGTTGATGTATTTTAGAGTTTTAATTCTGTGTTTAGCGCCAAGAGGTAGCACTCTCTGTTTAAATGTTTAAAGCTACCGGTATGTCCTTGCCTCGGGTATTTCAAAATCAAATCGTGGAGTGTAATTTCGAGGTCCCCAAAGCTGGTTGCCTACAGTGTACGTGATGCACGGATCATATTGTATATGGGTGTGGCCGTATCCCAGTAGCGCTGCACACGCAGCCTGATTAAATCTTGGCCCTAGCAACCTTTCCACTGCAGGTAGCAGCGTATACCGTTACGTAGCTTGAAAGCATACTGGAGATCCAAGAAAACTGAGAACCTGTAAAAGCCGCCTTATGAATTTATTTCTGTTCTCAGATTTTTGCAGGAAAAGAATGGAGTGGGTGGGTGAAATCAGAAAAATATTGAATTTAAACATGGAGGTAAAAAAAAACAGGCATCCCTTAGTACTACTAGTAGAACAAAATGCTACCAAATGAGACAAGGAAGTTCTTCGCTTTTTGTACAATAACTTTTAATTGTATTAAAAAATGGAAAACTAACAAGGAGGAAAATAGGTACAACAAAAATATGAGCATCTTTGCGTTGATATATAACTGAATGGTTCAAAATCTTTTGTTTTTTAAATCAGAAGAAGTGAAGTTGTGTATCAGAGAAACAAGAGATTGAATTGTTCTGACTTAAGCTTTGAGAAAAATGGGGTCATCCTAATAGTAATATGGTACATGCAAATACATGCATTTATGCAAATGCCATCCAGTGACAGTGGAATGTCACCTTTTCCTATAGCAGTTCTAGTAAATACAAACTACATGTAATGTCAAAACATGCAGAATACATAGTATTGATGGTCCATTTGTAATACCTGCCAGTCATAAAAATAAACGTTACTTTGGTGATGACAATTAATTGTGTAATTTAGTAATTATTTTATTATGATTGTGAAATTTAGATTGACCTTTCCACTCTCAGCAACAAAGGTCATCTGCATGACATGAATGTATTGTACACATGGCAGCATTTATCATGTCTGAAAAGTTGAATGATGTCTTTATTTCTAGAATGGCCTTACGGAAAATATGTTGACATGATCTGTTTCTAGTTTCCCACCAACACTAGCAAAAAACTCACCAATTCTAGCCTTTCGAGGGGAGGGTTGACCTCAGGCTATAAAATTTTTGATCCAACAACTGAATTTTAAACCTTCTGAAGCACTAGTAAACACATTTTCAGATTTATGACAATTATTTACAGGTCTGAAACTAATTTACTTACGGTTGCGTCAAGTGGCTGAGTGGCTAATGCTGGTAGTAATGGACGCAAGTCAACAGGTCGCAGGTTTAATTCCTGGCTACACCCCGTGTCCTTGGGAAAGGCACTTTTATATGACTTTCCTCACTCACCCAGGTGTAAAATAGGTACCCGACTTTATTTGGGGCCCTGTGATTAAAAGGTGGTACTGGTAGAGGGATTGTCTCCGCCTTCCAATACCGTGCCCTGGACACTGCCTAAAAAAGTCTATAGGACTACCATTAACTTTAACCTTTATACTTATAACTGCAGTGTCCGAAATCCTTTTTTGAGCCAGGTAGTACAGTGGGGCAAAAACTAGGTAGCGCATCAGAATTTTAGCCCCCCACCCCACCCCACTGCCGATTTGTCGAAATTTTTGTCAGGCTGTGCGGTGTGCTACCCAAGTCATTAAGCAACTAGTGCACAAGAAAATCATGTTGTACTGCCGGGTATTTCGAACACTGAACTGTCATTCAACCCATTTCAGGTGCAGAAGAAGGACTGGTCAGAGGTGCACCATGACCAGCGTGTCCAGCCTCACCCTGACCACAGACGTGAAGAACCCGGTGGGGAAACTGCAGGGAGGGTTCGAGTGCAAGTACTGCAGCTTCCAGACTCAGGACCTGAATGAGTTCACCTCTCACGTGGACTCAGCACACCCCCACGTCATCCTCAACCCTACCTACATCTGCAAGCTCTGTAACTTCTCAACTAAGAGGTAGGAATTACTGTTACGAAAATAGTGTCATCAGGTTGGTAAAGTATAGGATACGCTGCCAGGATTTTTCTTTTACACAACCAAGATAGTCTACCTTGCTGACTTTTTTAGGTTTGGGAATGACGGTGATGTGGAAAGTTACATCGTGTTGTATTTTATTTATGTTGTACCTACCTGAAAACGTGCATTATAGTGTCAAATTTGCAAAAATGTGGTGTTCCTTAACAAGAATTCCAATATCCAAATCCAGTATTACAATTTTTTTAATGTGGCGCATAATTGATTTGGTTTTGTATATCATAACATTGATAAAATGCTCTATTTGTCTGACTGTTACCAGGTATGAAATGTTCATGCAACACAACCAGAAGAACCACCCAGACAACACCAAGTTGGCACTGAAGGTCATCAAACAGAACGGCACCACCTTCCTGGAACAGAACCCGGTAGGAGGGACGGAGGAAAGCACAACAGCCAACGGCGAGAAGAACACTGCTGAAGTTGGTGAGGGAAGATGTTTGTGAAATTCTATCCTGTCATACCGTAGTTCACTTCTTACCTCTCTCTTGACCTGGCTTTGTTGTTGAAGATGTTGGTGTCACTTCTTATACAATATACATATATGAATTCTACATGATGAATTCTACTGCACATCACTGAGACAGTTGCAGGGAGAGTGTGTGGATATTTTGGTTACTTTATTGACAGGGAGGTGCTGGAAGATAAAACATTCATGAAAGGTCGAGCTACTTCCTGAAATACTGATATCCTCAGTTTCTTGCTATGTGAAACTTCCTTCCAGTGACAGTGAGCTGGCAAAATTGGAAATTGATAAATATGAACATTGATGATGCTAACTGTCATTTTCGTCTTGTTGAAACAGAAACTGAGGCAGACCAAGACAAAGATGAGACGCAGGGTGAAGACAGGTCCGGAGCAGTTGGTGCCTTCCGAGCTCCCATGATGCAAAAGCTCCTGGACCAGAAGAGCTCGGCCAGTAAAGGCGACGCAGTGAGCAACGACCAGTTCTCGGCCTCCTCGACTCTACAGAAGCTTTGCCAGACAGCGGCTAATCCCCCCGTCACCTACGCCACCATCAGTGTATCCAACACCGACAGTCACAAAAATGCAGTGCTGAGGCAATACTTTGACAAGTTTCCTTACTTCACCGACAAAGAGCTGGATGAGATTATAGACAAGACTGGTATGACCAATAACGAAGTAAGAACATGGTTCAATGCGCAGAGACAAAAACTCTCAGTCAGCTGGACTGCAGAGGAGATAGAGCAATACCGGGTGTCTGGGGTCCCTGCCACGTGGGCTCAACAAAAGAAGGAGCCAGAAAAGACCATGAAGGTGGTAAAAACACTCTTTCCTTCCACCAGAGTTAGCCCGGCCGCCAAGGAACGTACGAAGACCCCAGCAAAGGCCTCTCGTCCCAAACCCTCACCAGCGGGGGAAGGAAGGAACTGGAAGAAGACGCCGGAGCAGTTGCAACTTCTTAAGAGAGCATTTGGTAAGACTCAGTTCCCGACACCTCTAGAGGTGGATAAGCTTGTGCGAGCGTCAGGGCTGACGGCAGGCGTGGTGAAGAAGTGGTTCAGTGACACACGCTACCACGTCAAGCACAGCAAGGGAACCAAAGGACTCTGTGTGTACAGGGAGGATCTCAATGAGACATTAGACAGTATTATCGAGTCGTCATCGGTGAAGTCACCCCACAAAAACCCCCGAGGCAGACCGCCGAATTCACCCAAGGCCCGAGGTAGACCGCCTCTGTCTCAGTCAGCTAGAGGCAGGCCACGATCCCCAAGGTCTCCAAGAGCACAACTGAACTTCAACACTCCAGACAGCAGCACGCCAAAGGTGAAAATAGAAAGGAGCTCTATGGACATGGAATGGCTGGAGAGGAAGGGAAAGTCGGAGTACCAGTTAGACCTCCTGAAAATCCATTTCCAGCAGAATCCTTACCCGTCAGAGTTTGACATCGACAAACTTCGGGAGGAGACCAAGATGACGGCAAGAGAGATCGGCAGGTGGTTTAATGACTGTAGGAGGGAGAAGGGGCTCCCACAAGATGAGAAGTACTACGTACCGCCACAGGAGGCTGTTACACAAGGGACAGAGGAGGAGGCTGATGATGCCATCACACCCAAAGACGAACCCTTGTCTCCAGGGCAGCCTGATTTAGTGGACTATTTCAACGGCGACGTTGTTGAGGAAGACTCAGGTTCCGACAACGACAAAAGCAGGTCAAACGACGTGAACGAAAACAGCGTTCAGCGTGATAACGGGAACAAGGGTAGGGTTGCCTCGTCGCGGAAAGTTGCCGACTTGCCAAAAGAGAACGCCTCAGATGTCAAGAGCAAAGACAAATCAGATTCTATCATAGAGGAGAAGGAAATAGAACAAGAGCCTGGTGGTGGGAAGGAAGAGCCTAAAACCAAAGATGGTCCATCAGATGATGAAGATGATGATGATGATGATGATGATGGAGTTAAAGATACAGAAATGGAGGATGAGGAAAGCGGACTGTATATGGATGTACAGGATGAACCTGTTGTGGGGATGGAAGACCAGGATGATGCAGAAGAAGATGAGGAAAGATGGGACCATGAGGAAGAGGAGCACCAACGGGGGACAGAAACGCACAAAACCAACAGCGAGGAGCAGACTAAGAAAAAGAGCGGGGACGTCAAAACGACCATGAAGGTGTTTTATGACAGGACGGGGAGAGTGAAACGAAGGTTTAAAACAGAGTACCAGCTGAGGCTGTTGAAGGAAAGTTTTCAGAGGTGCCCACACCCGGACGACCTGGAGATAGAGCGCTTGATGAGACTTACGAGGCTCAGCAAGCAAGACATCCGGAACTACTTCTCAGACAAACGGTACGACGTCTTCAAACGAAATCCGCACAAGATGCACCAGCTTTCTCACCAGCCTCACGAGCCGCCCAGCACGCTGGAAGACTATCTAGACGAAGACGACTCCCTCCCGACCATGGTTCCCCCCGGCACCAACATGGTTCTCTCCCCGGCCGACATCCTCACCCGGAAACGGAAGCGCGACGACGTGGAAGACTTCGAAGAGGATGGCAAAATCGATGGGAAAAAGACCGCCTTCCAGTTAGACGTCGTGAAGGCTAGCTTCTCTCTCAACCAGAGGCCGGGAGACACAGAGGTCGCGAGAATAAACAAGCTGACGAAATTGTCGAGGAAAGAAATCCTGTGCTGGTTCGGCGACACGCGGTACGCCTTCAAGCATGGCAAGGTGAAGTGGATCGAGAAGTACAGAAAGATGACGGAAGATCCTCACTACAAGAAATACTTAGGAATGGACCAGGACGACACCAGTGCGCCCACATCGGGAGCAACATCTCCCGTCACTGCGACTTCTACGCCCCGTTCTGTACCAACCTCCCCAGTACGTCATTCAGCACACGCATTGAGTGACTCTACACCAACTCAGAGTCACCAGACAGAGAGCCCTACACAGCAGGAGTCCCCGGAGCAGCAAAGAAGCCCAGTTTCAGGGAAGGAGTCCATCATAGGTCTGCAGAGTATCGTCTCGTCCATGAACCCTCAGAAACCCCTGACTAACGTGGAGAAGCTGAAGATGCTAACCGAACAGTACGAGAGATGCCCCTTCATCCTGTATCACGATGCTGAGGAGCTGGCCGCAAAGACTGACCTGAGAGTGGAACAAGTAAGATCATGCTGCTATCTACATGTATTTCAGAGGCTGAGTGCTGGGTAGCAGAATCAAACCTGACAAATTGACTTTCAATGCTGCCCACTATATAATACAAGACATTAAAATCATCAGTATGACAAACATCAAAGAAAATTAACTCCAGACAAAATTAACTTGAGACATTCATAATTTGTAAACTAGACCAGCTGTTACAGCTAACAATGTGGAAATGCAATTTAAAGCAATGTAAAGGAATTGTGACATACATGTACATAGATATTGTCACAAGATAGTGATGCAGTTCCTTGTTAACCAACAACACATGCTACATGTAGTGGGGTCCCAAAAGTAAAGAAAGTCACATGCATTACATTAAAAATACCATAATCATTCCTTCATTGGTTGAACTGCTAATTGTGAAGGACAGTCAGGATCAGGGTATTGTTTGCCTTGTCCCCAGGTGCTGTCTTGGTTTGAGAGAAAGCGAGAGGAAGAGAAGAAGGACACTAACGAGGAGGATGGGCATGAGTCTGAGGAGGAAGCTGCCTCCTCCATGGTGCACAGATCCCCCAACATGGCCCAGAGACCCCTCCTGGACCCCGACATGCAGATTCAGATCATCAAGCCTCCCATGTCTCAGCAGCAGAGACCGCCGGCCGTCACGCACATCATGAACCAGCAGCGCCCCATCGCGCCGCGCCCCATCCTGCACCCCAGTCTGCGCCCGGTGGTGTCGCCTCCGATGCCCCGTCAGCACGCACCGCAGCAGCTCAGGATGCAGGTTCCCGGCAATGTGCAAGGTTAGTGCACACACTATTATCTAGGTGGCATATAAGTTTTTAGGGAGAAATGTTGATGTTTATTTTTTTGCCCCTCCCCCTTAATCAGAGCACTAGAACGCTACATCTATTTAGGTTGTTCTTAGATGAGATTGTTCTGAATTGAGATGCCTCCATGTGATTTGTGCAGTATATGTTCAACTACATGTGTGCCAAATTTGGTGCTTTTAGACAGTGCACATTTCGGCTAATGCCAGGTACAATGTATGCTGCTGGACTATTTGTTGGTCTACCTTTGTCAAGAAGGTTGCTTTTGGTAGCAATTGTTGTCTGGTTTAGCACAGCAGCTTAAGTCTTAAAGCTATGGATAGATTATCATAAACTTTGGTAGGTCTTCTTGGAAGTTCTTTTACTCTTTGTAAGTTCAGAGTTATCCAAAGAAATATTTGGGATAGTTTGGGATAAAAGTGATTGGCAGCATGTATCATCTAGCTGGTAAGTCACTGAATAAAGAGACTCTTTTTACACAACGAAGTGTTTTATTCAGCTGGCATTTTGATGACCGTCTGTCACCTTCTTGAGAAAAGTCGGCTGAATGAAACACTTGGTTGTGTTGGTTGAATCTTGTTACTCAATAGCCCACCATCTTGTGCTTAGAGTCTCATTTACAGTTCATGTTTTGGCAGGACAAAACTTCGTGATGGTCAGCCAGGTCCCCCAGCAACACCACATGGTACAACCCGGCATGTTAGGTCCAGGTGGTCGGCCTCAAATCATCTACACGATCGTGCCTAACCAGCCGGCACCGAGCACCCCCTCCCAACCTCAGGCCATCCGTGTCCAGTCGGCGATGAGCCTGGCTACCGGCCAGCAGGTCATGATGCAGAGTTCCCCTCCCCTCCAGCACCAAGGTGTTCCCTCCCAGCCCCAACCTACCATGGTGGTGTCCTCTCCCCCACCACCTAACGTCCATCAACAACAACAACACAACAACGACAGGCCCAACGACCTGGTGCGAAGCATCCTGGCCAGCTGTAAGATTGACATTTCCAACTGGGAGACCGTGGTGTACCAGTGCCCGCGGTGCAAGGCCGTGTTCCCGCGGTGGGCCCCGCTGGAGAACCACGAGAAGGTCTGCAACACGCCGCGGGAGGACGGCACGAAGCCCAAACCGTGCATCTACCTCACCATGGCGCTGGTGGAGTCCTACTTCATGAAGGAAGACGTGATGACGGAGGACAGCTCGCCGCTCTTCAAGTGTTCTCTGTGTAACCAGCCGTACATCGAGGAGAAAAGTCTGCCCCTACACTTGGAGGAACACACCAAACAAGATGTCTGTATGAAGTACATGTACCAGCTTGAATGACACAAGGCTTCTCACTCTATGGGCACCAGAAATACATGACCACATGTTCAACAAGAAATCAGAGATTTCAGGCTTCCGGGAAGTGTTTTGGGTTTCCATGAATGTGTTAAAACTGGAGGAGATGGTTTAATGTAATGTGGTTAAAATGGAAATTACCAGGGTATGAGGGGTTAAGAGGTAAAGTACTCGTCGTAACCGGCACAAACCTCTGTAATCATCAGATAT